GATAATCTGACGACAAAGATTGTATTCATAATAAACATAAGTTAAAGATACCTTTTCTTCACCAAAAAAGCAACTGTATTTACGATGGGTACAATCATGGTACCTAAACTCATGAGTTTTGGGGTTTACCAGATTCAAAATTTCTAAATTTTGGGCTTGGTAGGGGAAAGATAACTTTAAAAATCAGACATTTTTGTTAGTTTCTTCAGGCAAATTAAAGATAAAAAGCAATGTGGAGAAATGGAGAAAGAAAGGCATTTGTATGCAAATCAAAACCATAGTGAGGTATCACCTCACACCAGTCAGAATGGCTATCATCAAAAAGTCTACAAATAATAAGTTCTGGAGGGTATGTGGAGAAAAGGGAACCCTCCTACACTGTTGGTGGGAATGTAAATTGGTGCAGTTCACTATGGAAAACAGTATGGAGCTTCCTTAAAAAAACTAAAGATAGAGCTACCGTGTGATCCAGATAGCCCATGCCTGGGCATCAATCTGGAAAAGACGAAAAGTGTAATTCGAAAAGATACATGCACCCCAATGTTCATATCAGCACTATTTACAATAGCCAAGACATGGAAACAACCCAAGTGACCACCAACAGATAGTTGGTTTAAGAAGGTGTGATACACACACACACACACACACACACACTGATACAATGGGATATTATTCAGACATAATGAAATAATGCCATTTGCAGCAAAATAGATACACCTAGAGAATATCATACTAAGTGAAGTAAGTCAGATGGAGAAAGATAAATATTATATATCACTTATATGTGGAATCTAAAAAATAATACAAATGAATCTATATATAAAACAGACACAGACTCACAGACATAAAAAGCAAACTTATGGTTACCAAAGGAGAAACAGAAGGGAGAGGGATAAATTAGGAGTATGGAATTAACAGATACAAACTACTATACATAAAATAGCTAAGCAACAAGGATTTACTGTATAGCACAGGGAACTATAATCAATATCTTGTAATAACCTATACTGGAAAATAATCTGAAAAGTATACATTTCTATATAACAATCACTTTGCTGAATACCTGAACCTAACAAAATACTGTAAATCAACTAAACTTCAATAAAAAAAGAACAGAAAAGCATTTTTAAGAAATAAAAAGGAGAAATAAATTTGCATTAGAGAATTCAAAAGTCAAAATCTCACTTTAGCCTCATTGACTTACTTCCCATTTTTTAAGCTCTCAAAATGCAGGCTGTTCAGGATTTTGTCTCTGTAATTTTAGGAGAAGCTCAGAGAAGATGATTAACTCTCACAATGATAATTAATAGAGGATCACTCAATTTTGATGTATGTGTATGATTTTCATGTGAAAGCATGAAATCACAGTGTTTCATCAACAAATACTTAAGTATTACAGTGAAATTTTCTCTTTGCCCAGAATGCGAGGATATAAAGTAAAGCCATACATCCTCAGCACCAGCTTGCTCTTGTCACCAGGTTCACAGACGGTTACAGGGTTCCTTACTCCTTCTCATTGGGAGAAGACTGCATTTCCATTATTTGCATACATTATCTGTATTAGTGAGAAAGGAATGGCCTGAACTTCTCGAAAGTAGGTGAACAGCTTCTTTGAAAAGATAATTCAGGATTCATGACACACTTAAACCCCAGGCTTTCTACATGGTCCTGCAAGTTGAAAGACCTTTACATTTTGAAGAACTATTTTTTTTGCTAGGAGTCCATCCAAATGATCTAATATCCTGTGCGCTTAGATCAAACACATATGGAACAATATTAAAACTTTCTTGGGAAAAACCCTTAAGGAGAAATAAATTGATTAAAACTGCAATAAATAAAGATTGTTACAGTTAGAAATAGTTGATATACTCATTTCTTGGGTCTCATGTCAAATCTAAACTTTGCTGTAATTCTCTATCTTAAGGCTTCATTCAGCCTATAGGTTGCCTTCACATCTAAAAGTCATTGCACATTTATTGATTACCTACTCCATGACTTTGCTATACAGGGATTAAAAAGATAAGTGAAATATGATATCTACCAGCACAAAGCTTACAATCCGGTAATGGTAGGAATAATAAGATAGATACACAAAATACAAAGCAAAGAAGGTAAATGGCTTAAGAAAAATCCAAGTAAAGAATAATCCAGATATATAGAGAGACAGAGGCAAAGAGATAAAATAAGTCTGGGGTAGCTGTAAGAAACTTCCTGAATGAGGAGGTGTTTAAGATTAATTTTAAGGGACTTTGACAAGTAAGAAAGAAAGGAAGGAAGGAAGGGATTTTAGAGAGCAGGAAGGGAAGGGAGAAAAGTGAGAAAGTACAGAATACAGGTATGTTCACATCCTTTGAAGAGTAGAGAGCATAGGTCAGATAGGTGATAAAATTAAAAAGGCATTAGTAATCATTTATAGGACTTGGTAGCTGATAGTGTAGAAGGAAAAACTAAAAATAAATTTGTGATTTAAAACCTACGTGTGTAAAGGTGGTTTTATTTAAAGAAAGAAGCAAGATAGGATAATGTGATGATTTTAGGAGCAGGGAAGTGATATATGCTTTTATGAAAATGTTGAGATTAAAGTACCTCCTTGAACATTTGGCTTCTGAATTATGATTTAGACCTTAAAAAAGACTGTAAAGAGTATAAGAGTTGGAGTTATAAGACTTGGTATCAAATCGTGGATCTTCTAATTTGTATGTCCTTAGATGTGTCACAAGCTCTTTGAGCATCATTTTATTCACTGTTAGAAATGGAGATTAAAAGTGTTTTGCAATCTACAAAATTCAACAAATCCAAGATGTTCCTGTTGTCTGCATAAACGTAATAGTTGAAGCTATTATTAAAAGGACAGCCTATAAGAGGTCTGAAGAGGGGTTAGTGCAACTGCCATGTTTGATAAATTAAAAAAGGAATTCTAACCATCACATGTAATTTTGTTTGTTGATACCTGACTTTATAGTTTTATGACACACATATGCATACCTGCACAATACATTGCTTGACTTTACTTGATTTTGAACTTTTGAAAAAGGGTGCCATATACTATGTAGTCTTCTAAGACTTGCTTTATTCACTTCAGATTATGATGCTAAGATTCATCCATGATTTTTAATTACAGATAATTTTTTATTGCTACATGGTATTCCATTTTACGAAAATTCCATAATGTAGTCATCCATTTCACTGTTTATAGACATTTTTGTTGTTTCCAAGTTTTTTTCTTTTTGCTACTATAAACAGTGACACAATTAATATTTTTGTTATGTCTTCCAGCATATACATGCAAGAATCATATGTCCAGGTATGTTCAACTCTAGAAAACAATGTTAAATTGATTTCTAAAATGGTTTTATCATTTTAAACTCTTACCAGCAACGTGTAAAAGAACCATATCCTCTCCAAACCGCGGTTCCATCAAATTTCTTAAATTCCACTGATGAGTGATGAATAATAGTATCTCACTGTGTTCTTTTATTGACGTTTTTCCAATTACTAGTAAAGTTTGGTGACTCTTCATATTTTTATTAGCTATATACATCTTTTGTGACATGTCTATTAATATTTTTGGCCATTTTTATTGTTAACATTTTCCTATTTTAATGTATGGGATCTCTCTATGCATACTTCCTTATAGTCTTTGCTGACTATAAGAATTTCAAGTAACTTTTGATACCCTCTTCACTGTCTTTCAAGTGCCTTTTGAGAAACAAATGTTTAATTTAATTTGCACACCATCTGTTGGTTCTTTTTTTTTTAATTTTTGTGCTTTTCAGTCATACTGACCAAACATCAGAAAGACATGTACCTGTATTTTCTTCTGAAACTTTTAAAGTTTAGTTTTTGCTCTTTAAAAATTTTAATCCATACAAAGCTAATTTTTGTATACTGTGTGAGGTAGAAAACCAATCTTATTTTTTTCTTTATTAATGAACCATCTCTAGCTCTATTTATTGAATATTTCTTCTCTTTTTCAGTGATCTGTCCAAGTACCTCAGTCATCCATCGTAGTTCAGCCTAAAGCTGAGTCTTTCCTTGGATCTCTCTTTTGTTCCTGTTGTTGATTTTGTCTTCTCCTCACAGCAGCATCATTCTGTCTTAACTGAAGTATGACATGTAGGGCAATTCCTCCCTCCTTATTCTTTCTTTTAAATTAACGCATATGAACCTATTTTGTACTGGTATTATTCAAACATTTCACAAATATTAACTCATTTAATACTCAAAACAACCTTATAAGGTAGGTACTTTGTTCCAATTTTACAGATGAGGAAATTGAGGCATAGAGAAGTTAAGTAACATTTTTAAAGTCACACAGTGAGTAGGTGCCTAAGTTGGGATTGTAAACCAGGCAGTCTGGCTCCAGAGTCCATTATTATCATTAATCATAGTATATTAATGATATCATTAGATTATCATTATCATCATTTTCAAATGATATAAGAACATGAGAGATATTCAGTGTTAGCTCAGCATTGTAGGGAAGTAGGATAACAACATATTTTGCAAAGGTCTTTTCAGAATTTGACCGAGATCACTTACACATTTCATGTGTTTGAGGGGAATCAATGGAAAAGACAGTTTTGTTCAGATAATGCATTTATCTAAGTATGATCCTGAATCTGGGCATGCTAAAAATATTTGGGGGCTCCTTTTAACACCTGAGTCATAAAATGCAGTGTTTACTATGGAACTGGACTCCCTGTTTCAAAACATACTTGTGGGAATTCACTATAAGTACAACAGAAAATTGAGAAAATCAGTAAGTGTTTTCTGAAATATATATCCACATTATCAGTGGGTAGCTTTGCTGACAGACTAGAATATTCTGGAAACGTATGACATTCACTCCCCATCTGTTGTCTCCCGACATTGTTTAACCATCAAGTAACAGAATGAACAGCATGAGTTGGTCTCATCTCACCCTTCATTTGCCATGAAATCACGCCTGTAAATAGACACCCAAAAAGGAACTTCCAGTCCCAGGATGACATTCTTACCTGCACGTGGCTTTAGGTGATTCAGCTCTGCCAGGGATGCTGTGAGAGCCAGCCACAGTACCTCTGTTCTCATCCACAGAGTACATTGTCAGTCCTGGAACTGGCACAGCTCACTGCAAAGCAGAGAAAATTTTATGCTTATTTCACAATACTTTTCCCGTTGTCTGACTTTCATTAGATCCCAGAGCCATTTTCCCTCTTGGGAACACATTTTAAAAATTGGTAGAAGCCAATGAGAAAATGATTCAAATAATAGAGAAGCCACCGCAATGAGAAGCCCGCTCACTGCAACTAGAGAAAGCCAGTGAGCAGCAACGAAGACCCAACACGGCCAAAAATAAAAAAATTAAAATTTCAAAAAAATTTATGAAAAAAAAAGATACTCTCTTTTTACCTTTTCTTCTTAGGATATGTCTGTTTCATAAAGCACCTATATCATCTGCTGAAAAGACTGTCTTCATGTATCTCACTAAAATATGTTCTGTGTCTTGGCCAAAATCTCGAAGCTATTTGTCTCAGTGAGTTGAAATACTGATATTCAGATTACAGGACACAGATACTCAGAATACTTAGTCTGTAATATCCAGATATGAGTTTACATCATTCATAAGTCCTACCTTGAATTTCAGGTACATTTTTTTTTTTTTTTTTTTTGCGGTACGCGGGCCTCTCACTGCTGTGGCCTCTCCCATTGCGGAGCACAGGCTCCGGACGTGCAGGCTCAGCGGCCATGGTTCACGGGCCCAGCCGCTCCGCGGCATGTGGGATCTTCCCGGACCGGGGCACGAACCCACGTCCTCTCCATTGGCAGGCGGACTCTCAACCACTGCACCACCAGGGAAGCCCTCAGGTACATTTTAACAATTATATGACACTTTATATTCTAAGCATTTTCAAATTTATTATCATCTTTAATAATCACAATAACTGTGTATATGTATGCTTGAGTACACAGAGAAGATAGATAGAACTGTCTTCTGTTCTAGATGAGTAAACTGAGGTTCAGGGAGGTTTTGTGATTTACCTAAAGTTACTCTGTCGGTAAGAGACATATTAACAATTTAAATCCAGATTTTCTCACTCCAAGTCTATGACCTCCTCCTCTACTTTCTAACCTCCCTCCTACTGTGATATCGATAATAAAGAATAGCAGATGAACTTGTCTTTACCTTTCTAAAATGCATGATCTTGCCCACTGGTGTTTTCTCAATTAAAGAAATACATTTCCTTAGCTATTGGCTGTGTCCACTTTCTTAGAATTCAGGTGTTAACATTTAGATCATTGTTAGCTCCTTTCCCAACCTTTGCTTCACAACATGGCAAAGCGCCAAGGTTTGAGTTAATGACTTGAAAGTGTGATGTCAGTGGCTCTATGGAAGAAGGGGTAAAAAGAAGTTGGACTGAACAAGATTAGTCACTGTTTTACAAAGTCATCTTTTAAAAGCAGGAATCCTGGCCCCCTAATATGAAAACTAAGTGAGAATTTAGATTTTAATTATAGACTTCTTCAAAGTTTACTCTTTGTGTTAACCCAATAGGAAGCAGCTTTTTATAGATACCAATTAATTCACTTTTTTTAACACTCCAAACTGAACAATCACTTTCATGACTTTTTTTTTGTATTATTAAAAGAAGTTTCCTTTTGAGCTACTGCTATAATAAACAAGGTAATGCTTCAATTGAATTGAAAGTTATAGAACAATCTAAACCCCCTGGGCTCAGGGCTCAAGAAATTTAACTTACTGTGAATAGTGACTGTCAGAGTGACACAGAGGAATAAACAAAGAATAGGTAACCATGGAGCCCAGAGCACCAGCAATTCCATTTGTCTTGACCTAGAAATTGATACATAATGGTCTGGAAGTCATCTGCAGAGGTTCCAATCCCAGTTGTTCTACGAATCACTGTCTAACCTTTTAAAGGACATGCTTTCCTCTGGGCCTTGGTTTCCTTCATCTGTAAAGTGAAAATTGACACATAAGGACTCTAAGATCCCTTGCAGTGTTAATATTTTAAGATCCCAAATGCTTATGAAGAGAGAAATTTCAAAAGATCTCAGTAATAAACAAATGGGACCTAATCAAACTTACAAGCTTTTTACAGCAAAGGAAACCATAAACAAAATGAAAAGACAATCTACAGAATGGGAAAAAAATATTTGCAAATGATGTGACTGACAAGGGCTTAATTTCCAAAATATACAAACAGCTCACACAACTCAACAACAAAAGAAACAAACAACCCAGTCGAAAAGTGGGCAGAAGACCTAAACAGACATTTCTCCAAAGAAGAAATACAGGTGTCTAATAGGCACATGCAAAGATGCTCAACATCGCTAATTATGAGAGAAATGCAAATCAAAACTACAGTGAGATACCACTTCACGCTGGTCAGAATGGCCAGCATTAAAAAGTCCACAAATAACAAGCACTGTAGAGGGTGTAGAGAAAAGGGAACCCTCCTACGCTGTTGGTGGGAATGTAAGTTGCTGCAGCCACTGTGGAAAACAGTACATATGTTCCTCAGAAAACCAAAAATAGAATTACGATATGATCCAGCAATCCCACTCCTGGGCATAGATCTAGACAAAACTATAATTCAAAAAGGTACATGCACCCCTATGTTCATAGCAGCACTATTCACAATAGCCAAGACATGGAAACAACCTAAATGTCCATCAACAGAGGAATGGATAAAGAAGATGTGATACATATATACAATGGAATATACTCAGCCATAAAAAAGAACAAAATAACGCCATTTGCAGCAACACAGATGCAACTAGAGATTATCATACTATGTGAAGTAAGTCAGAAAGAGAAAGACAAATACCATATGATATCACTTATATGTTGTATCTAAAATATGACATAAATGAAACTGTCTATGAAACAGAAACAGAATCACAGACATAGAGAACAGACCAGTGATTGCCAAGGGGGAGAGCTGCCAAGCAGATGTAAACTTTTATATAGAGAATGAATAAACAACAAGGTCCTACTGTATAGCACAGATGACTATATTCAATATCCTATGATAAACCATAATGGAAAAGAATATTTATAAAAGAGAATGTATATGTATATATAACTGAATCACTTTGCTCTACAGCAGAAATTAACACAACACTGTAATTTTTAAAAAATATTAATTAAAAAAATAAAATAAAAAGATCTCAGTAGTGATTAAACAAGGTGGAAAAAATAGTATCATGGAAGCTGCAAGTATACAACTGCAGATGTGAAGCCCTTTAAAAATTTATTTTTCCCCATGAGTAGGGCTGGTGTTGCTAAGGGAGTATTTGTCAGACTCTAGGCATCATTTCATTTTGATTAAATGTTTGTGATGGGGGCTCCCCTGGTGGCACAGTGGTTAAGAATTGCCTGCTAATGAAGGGGACACGGGTTCAAACCCTGGTCCGCGAAGATCCCACATGCCGTGGAGCAACAAAGTCCGTGCGCCACAACTACTGAGCCTGTGCTCTAAAGCCCATGCTCCGCAACAAGAGAGGGAATCCCACACCTCTATCTCTTGTTTATATAAATGTTAGGGCATTTTACAGTATACTTATAACCGTAAGTGTTACATAAATATACTGATGTTACTATGATGATTTAACAGTGGTGTGTGTGCATGTACGTATATTGTGTGTGTGTGCACGCTCACACAAAGACTTATGTCTGTTAGGAAGGAGAAGACAATGAAGAAAGAAATAAAGGAACTGAAGAAGTCTAAACTGGTATATAATTATATTGAATGTGTTAAAGGAAGTGATCTTTTAAAATAATAAGTTGTGTACTGGATGAAAAGGCTGTAATTAATCTGCATTTGGATTTACTTCCATTTAGCAGTAGAGAATAGTACATCATGATCTGTGTGTGAAAGAAAGGCATATAGTGTGAAAATCTTATACTGCATAGTAGAGAAAAGGGAAAAAAAGAAGTTATTGGTGCACTGTAGAGTTAAACTGAATTATTTACAGTCTAAAGCAATTTACATATCAGAAATGCAGGTATGTATTCAGAGCAAATTCATAAATTAGACCTGATCTGACAAGGAAAACAAATAAACATAAAACTTGTATCCAAATACAAAAGCCTGGTCTGTTTTAGAATGAAGAACTCTTCAGTTGTGGAAGGAATTATAATAAATGTACTTGCATCATTGCAACAAATAGCATTATTACAAACACAGGAGTTAAAACACTTAAACATAATAGAAAAATAATGCTATTTATAGTTAATATTCAAGGGCAGGCAGTTATCCAAGTTAGCAAATATATTTACCACTCGTGAAAAATTCTGCCTGAAGAAAGCAGTTCTTTTCTGATATGAGGTTTCCTGAGTCAGTGTTTCTCCAAGCAGCATCAGTACCACCTGGTAACTTCTTAGAAATGCAAATTATGACCCCACCCCAGACCAACTGAATCAGAAAATTGGGGGGAAAGCCCACCTTCCACGTGATTCTCATGCACATGAAAATCTGAGAGGAAACAGCTTAGTAATAGAGTAGAGAAATTGGATAATAACTCTATTCTGTCATCATGAAACCAGGACGTACTAGATTTCATACTTATATTTCTTAACAACCTTCAAAAGATGCTACTGAAATCGCTAGACAGATAAAGATATTTCTTTAGATTTCCAAAGTTTTTTACTATATGAAATAAGTAAGAAGCTTATCATTGCCAAACAACAGTCAACACTTCAGTGAGATAAAATATGTGCAGATGACATCCTACATACCAGGCATTAAGCCTTGTTTGCAGCCAAATAACCCATCCCCTCACTTCATTGTATAAATCCCATTAAGCTGGCCAAGGAAAGGAAAGGAATGGAGACAAAGTGGGCAGTGAACTTGAGTTCATCTAAATTTATTTCTTCTGCTACATAAAGTGAAAGTTAAGTAAACTTAAGCTTCCTTCAAGCACTTTCTTGTGCATCTATCCATAATATATATACCTGAACAGGAAAAATGAGGCCAAGAATCTTATGAGACTACCTAGTAAGAGAATCTAGAAAAAAGTGACATCAATTTCTGTGTGACAGTAGAATTCCTCATTCAAAACTCCTACCAATCTACATTGTTTTTTCCAATAGTAACTATGTGGCAT